ATTGTTCTGAGAGATGATTTTGTGTTCCTGGGATCAGTGTTCTGGTACCCAGTGAGACAGCGCTTAAAACAGTTTTAGGGAAAATGACATCTTCTGAGGTTTGATTTTCAGGTGCCAGAGAAATCTGACTTGTTTAGTGGAAGATTGACTCAAATGGGAGGAAAACTGCTTCCTACTTAGCCTTTATGCCGTGACTCTCCGGTACAATTGTACACCAGGACCTCTTGGGGAGTATCTCCCCCACAGACACAGGTACCTCGCCTCACTCTTATTCTCACCTCCATATTTCACAGAGATCAGAAGCACAGGGCTGGAAAAGTTCTCTAGCAGACTCTGAAGCCCAGCATGGTTAGAATAACTTTTTAATAGCTCTCCACTTTCTGTTGAATAAACTTCCAACTCTTGATTAAACTTGGCATCTCTAAGACTCCACCCTGGGTTGCTTTCAAGGCTTATTCACCTTCATTCTTCTTGATTTCCGTTATCTTTAAGCAGCTTGCTGTGCATACTTATTCTTTCCTATAAAATGGGGGTGATGACACCTTTCTAGTAACACTCTTCAAGGGTGAGCAATCAAGCGCACGAGGCAGGGTCTGCGGCTTCAGCTCCAATATTAGTCCTAGGTCCTCAATAAATAGTCATCAACATGAGTGAAAAAAAATGCAGAAATCTGCTTGACGAAGGAAGGAGAGAGCCTTCCCATCGAACAGAGGCCGGAGAACCACTCCTCAGGGAAGCCCTGGGTGAATCCTCGTGCCCCTAGACCTTTTCCAAATCAAATGTGGCTTCTTCAGGTAAGATTTTACAAAAAGTGCTATTACGCTATCGTCACAGTTCAGACCTAGAGCTTGCCATGGGCCTGAGCATAAGAAACAGAAGCTTGAAACCCCATAAAGAGCACAGTCCCGTGCGGTTTCTGACCCAGAGGACACAGCTTCTGAAGCACATGGGCCCAGGGCTGCTCTCCCCGCCTCGGGTCTCAGGAGTACTTTTCAAGGTTTAGATCATTTTAACAGCGGCTGGACAAAGTCGGAGCAGGTGTGGGGTTTACAGTGAAATAGTAGCCAGTGCTGGTGTGATGGATAGAAGAGGGGGACACTAGTCTGATTAGTCCCAAACTGTGAGCTGCAAGTTCTATGGGATGCAAAAGAAGAGTAACAGAGAATTGATTTTTGTTTATTAGCACATGTGTATAATATATAATATTTACATTCCTTGGGGAAGGTATGCATAGCCACAGCACATTTTAATTCCTCCTTTCATCCCTTTCCTACCCCACCCCTTTCTTCATGCTTTTCCTCCTGTCTGTGTACATGTGTTCAGTACATACTGCCTCCTCCCCATCCCAGTTCCTGTTCTTCATGCTTTATCTCTTCCCCATTTCTGGATTTCCTTCTCCTTCAAAAATCATTAACTTTTCTACTTCCTAGCATCTAGCTTTTGCTTTGATCTTTATTCTTACTCTACATTTCTCATATAATAGAAAGCATGTTCAAACACATTAAAGAATTCCATGACCAACCAGGACTGGGGGAAAACACTAGGCAAGACCCAGGTCTGGAGATACTTTTGTTTTTAACTGTGTTTTAAGTTCTGAGTTTGTAAAATATGAGTAACAGTCATGAATAGACAAGGCGTGCAGCATTTCCCAAATTTATTGAACCATGGTGTATTTCTTTTTTCCTTGTATCAGGGGTTAGGATTTACAGGAGCACACTTAGGGAGGTGACAAAGTGACATGATTCGGACAGGGCTTCTTAATCCTGGCTTACTGAAGAATCCCCTGTGACACTATGCACACATGCGTGTGCACGTGTGCAAGAGAGAGAGAGACAGACAGACAGACAATGACATACAGAGACAAAGAAGAGAGGAGGAAGGGAGGGAGAGAGTGAGGGGAGCAGAGAGAGAGAGAGAGAGAGAGAGAGAGAGAGAGAGAGAGAGAGACAGTGGCAGAGACAGAGACAGAGACAGAGACAGAGACAGAGACACAGAAATAGAGGTTTATTCCTCCCCAGAATCTCTAGCAGATTGGTAAATGCAATTCTGGATTTATTTATTTGTCTAGTTATTTATTTGCACCTCTAGATTTTAAAAACCTCTGCTGGAGATGCTACCATGCAAGCAGAGCAGACAACAGCCACATGATGATGAGAGCAGCTTTGGGTTCAAGTCCAGCGCTTACGCCTCACTACTGTGTTATTTTTAGAAAATCACTTCATTGACTTGTCTTAGTTTTACTAACCCATAAAACAGGAAATCATATATACTTTTTGGTCCAAAAGAGTTACATAAAATAATGAAATAAAACAATTAGCACGTAGCAGGTCTTGTCTCCAAGTTGTGATCCTTAGAAACTTCAATACAAATATAAATTGGACAGTTATTTGCTGTCTCAATCCTTCTTAGCCTCCTGTGCCAACAATTTTTGCTCACTCCAACAAGCATAAAATAACTGTGGAAGGACTGGCGAGATAGCTCAGTGGACTAAGTGCCTGCTTAGGCAAGCACAGGGACCAGGGTTCCGTCCTGGCAAGCAGGTGCGTGCAGCCCTGCCCCGGGGACCGAGTCTGGGAGTGGTGGCTCATGCCTGTAATCCCAGCTCTGGGGAGGCTGACAACAGGAGGATCACTAGACTCCAACTGCATAGTAAGACCCTGTACCAAATACATTAAAAATAACATGACACGACATAACACAACACAACACATGTGTCCCTGTGTCTGTGATATGCCTGTAGCACTGTGAACCTTCAATGCTCTCAATACAAACCTTCATTGCATTTACAGCACCGAATCATTAGCAAAGATGAATACACATACATTCGACAACCACACCCTATCTCTTCATACTTGATCTCAGCCCAGAGGCAAGAAGCATGGTTCTACCCCCATGTATTTTAGAAAAAGGTTCCTGCTGTTTTGATTGTTTACAATCTCCACTTTCTAAGAGATCAACTAAGCCAGCCCTAAAACTTGAAACCTGGGTTTAGGGCATGAAAGAAATGATGTCACCATGGTGTGTGTTATACATCATGCAAAGGTCCAACATTTGGCCGGTAGCAGTGCCAGCACTTCTGCTGAGGAGGAGTTATTCAAAATACAAACCCGAAAGGTGTTTCTATTTCTATAAGAGCAGATGTAATGGGACTTTTATAGGCATCCTAACAGTTGGTGTCTTCACGCTCTTTTTCCCTCTTAATAATCCCTTCACTGTCTCATTCCATTAAGTCAGATTTTTAACATTGGGGGCGTAGGAGGGGGGCAGTACCAGAGCCTCGGGGAAGAAACATAAGTGTGAACTGGCTTCCCTGTGGCCCAGAGAGGTGTCTCTGTGTGTGAATGAAATGGTATAGATAATTCCGGTCTTATAAATGGATATTATTACAAAGTTCATTTGTAAGTCAGCAGTTTGGAACTTGGAACACACTTTCTCATAAAAGAAATGTTCTGCTCGGTGGACAGAGTCCCGGGCCAACCCACAGAGCCCACTTAACTCCTACTGTACCTGGAGCAAAATGGTTCCTTTTTTTTTTTTTTTTTTTCCGTTTTGAAGAGAACAATGTTTCCATGGGAACACATTTTCAGAGTTCTACTTACTGTTTAAGAGGGAGAACCACCAATTATAAAAATTTTACTACACTCCTAAATTATTTCCCCTTTATTCTTTTAATGAAGTACCAAGGAGAGGAGTTACCCATACCACTAATTATTTCTTGAATTTATTAACTTAAGATAATATTTTTTTCTCTGTGTTTTGTGCACTTTAAACATAAGGGGATACATAGAGCAAGGATAGATTTTGCTAAACTCTGCTGAGCTTCGCTTGCTTTCTTGTCCACTGTTCTTGGCGTCTCTTCTTGTACACCAGAGTCAGCCAGGCTGACTGCAGGGGAGGCGGCACTCGCTGCTATGTTTGATGTTACATCAATATTCTAGACTTTGTTTCTTTTTTCTATCTTATCTCTACTTTTACCCTAGGTTTTAAAACTGTCGCATAATTTAATAGGAATCTGCAAAAACTAAGTAGTGAAATATATTCTAGGTCATATTGACCACAGGAATCAGAAATGCTTCAACTACATGATACACAGATTATGAACAAGGTTTGGTACATATATCAAAGAATCACAGCCCTGGAGAGGACCCAAACGACAGTCTGGCTTGTTCCCTGGCTTCTAGACAAGCCAACCATTCCAAACAGATGAGAGCTAACCTATATTTTTAAAGAACAGCAACTTTGGGTTTCACTTTTTCTGGATCTAACAATCTGTATAACATTAGTAAACCGTTGGTAATTTTTCATCTAAACTTCTCCATGCACAATTACAACTGAACATTTTTACTTTCTCATGTTTAGAACAGGAAAAATGCGGGTTTATCTGTGCAAAACCCCACATCCTTATTACATACTATAGTTTGCATTGTCTTTTCTAGAACATTCCTGAACATCCCCATGTCTGATGCTTCCACTACCCTTTGTTTTGTGTTCTCTGGGTTTCCTGCACCTTCTTCAATGGTGGAAATTAAAATCTAGCAACAGTGTTTCATGGGAAATAAGTATTACTTGCATAGATAGGAATATTTAAGAACAATATGATAAGTAGGTCCTGAGAGTTAAAGGCAGGGAAAAGTCAAATTTAACAATTATTTTATTTTTATTTTTTATTTTCGGAACCGGGGATCGAACTCAGGCCCTTGCACTTGCCAGGCAAGCGCTTAGTCCACTGAGCTATCTCCCCGGCCCCCAAATTTAACAATTATAATAAAATTATAACATGGGCTATTTATTTATAGTGTTTTTTTCTTTCTGGTAGTTAAAAGGGCATAACCAGCCAAGTCATATCAGTTTTTCAGTCAGGTAAGGAAACTGAAGATAATCAATTCCTGTTAAACAATGTTACACATAAAACGGGATGACTATAAATGCCACCAACTATACTTTTTCTTCAGATGAATTGAAGCAAAATAGAAATTTAAGGATGAGAAAAGTCCACCTACTTGTTCATTTTTAGTAAGCCTGGTTTTGTTGTGAATGTCTGACGTGACCAGATTGAATCCATGCTTCTCTGACAGGATCCTCAGAAGCAAGACCACAGTGCGGCTCCCACACTTGCCGACCCTGTTGTACACCACCTGGCTGGGGAAAGGGAGGACCTGGGAGAAGAACAGAGAACAAGCTTGACGCATCAGGAGTCACACACATGTGCTGCTTTCCCCAACTTCAAAGCAAGTGTATGTACCTCCATAGTGTAACTACAGAGAGAATCACTCTATCCCTCTATGTGCACTGATACATAGTAAGTGGAGACGATGTGATCGATTACAAGCCTTTTATTTCTTCAAAAATATAATGTATAAAAATAGGAACTTTAGGGCTGTTGAGATAGCTCAGGGGACTAAGCTCCTGCTTTGGTAAGCGCAGCAACCAGAGTTTGGGCCCTGGTCCCACACGCTGCACTGGACGCACCCCCGGGAAGCGCGAAGCTGAAGACAGAGTCAGAGCACGGTGGCACACGCCTGTAACCCCAGCGCTGGGGAGGCTGAAAACAGGAAGATCACTACATGGCAGAGCTGTGAGGTGAGACCCTCTATCAACTACACAAATGAAGAAAAATAAAATAAAAATAGGCACTTTAATGAAATCATGTTTTGTGAGTCATCTTTTTATTGGAACAACTTAGTTTTGTAATGTGATTGAGAAAATATAGGAATGTTAAGATCTGAGTTACAATTCATACACTATGAAATTCACCATGTAAAGTATAAAAGGTAGTGAGTTTTTAGGACCTCCATTAAGTTGTACAACTCCCACCACTATCTAATTCCAGAGCATTCACATCACCAGCAAAAGAACCCTGTTATCTGTTCATCGTCGTTTTCCATTTTCTTCACTACTCTAGGCTCTGGAAATCATTTAACTACTTTCTTTTTAAAATTTTTTTAAAAAATATTTATTTATTTTATTGGGTTCAGGGTCTCACTACACAGCTCCGACTCACAGTGATCCTCCTGTCTCAGCCTCCCCAGTGCTGGGATTACAGCCATGCACCACCACACCCAGTTTCAGTGGCTGGTACTGTGTGGCGCCAGCACGCCACGTGGTACCAGGGATCCAACCTGTGTCCTTGTGCTTGCCAGGCAGGCGTTTAGACCACCAAGCTATCTCCCCAGCCCCATTTATCTACTTTCTGTCTCATGATTTTGTTTATAGGATTCTGGACAAATATATAAATGGAATTGTAAAACATGTGTTCTTCTGTGTCTAGCTTTTACTTAACAGAATATTTTCCAGGTTCATCCATATTGTAATGCATCAATACTACATTCATTTATATGGCTGAGTACTATTTTATGTATACATTGTAGCCTGTTATGCCTTCACTGTGCTTGCTTCGGCAGCACATATACTAAAAATATTATGCCTTCATCAGTTGATGAACATATATATGGATTATTTCTACTTTTTGGTCACTGTAACACTGCTATGAATATTTGTGTACTTTTTTTTTTTTTTTTTTTTTTGCAGAAAACACGTTTTAAATTTTCTGGTGTATGTACCTAGGAGTGGAACTGCTAGATCTATGACAACCCAATGTCCAATTTTTTTGTGTGTGGAACAGCCGAATTGTTTTCAATACAGCTGCACTATTTCATATCCCCATCAATATACAAGAGCTCCAGGTTCTCCATATCCTCGCTGACATTTGTTACTCCCTGTTTCTGTTTCTACTTTTTATTATAGACATCTTGGTGGGTGTGATGTGGTATCTCACTGTGGTTTTGACTTGTATTTCCCCAGTGACTGATGATGTTGAACATCTTTTCATGTGTTCTTTGGCCATTATATATTTTTCTTGGAGAAATATGTATCTAAGTCTTTTGCTCCTTATAAATTTGGTTGCATTTTTATTGGTACATTTAATAGTTTTATATGCAAATAAATTCTAGATTTCCAAATGGATGATTTGTGAATATGTTCTCCAACTTTCTGGGTTATATTTTCACTTTCTTTCTACATAGTAACATTAGAAGCACAAAAATGTTTAACTTTAAAAGGTGCAATCTATCTAGTTTTTGTTAGGTTGCTTGTGCTTTGGTGTCATATCTAAGAAATTACTGACTAAGATCACAAAGATATATCCCTATGGTTTTTCTCCTAATATTGGCTTAATTTTAGTGATAACATTTAGGACTTTTATCCTAAATATACCAGTAAAAAGGCAACCAAATTTACAAGGAGTAAAAGACTTAGATACATATTTCTCCAAGGAAAATATATAATGGCCAAAGAACACATGAAAAGATGTTCAACATCATCAGTCATTGGGGAAATACAAGTCAAAACCACAGTGAGATACCACATCACACCCACCAAAATGTCTATAATAAAAAGTAGAAATGGAAACAAGCAATAATAAATTTTTATCTATTTTGAGTTAATTTTGTATATGCTGAGACAGTTGAACTTCATTTCTTTTTGTGTAGATACCTGATTATTCCAACACCATTGGTTGAAAAAGATCTTTTTTTTTTAACTGTTTAGCACCCTGTTGACAATACACTAACCATAAAATAAGGGCTTGCTCAAGTCTATTCCACTGGCCTATGTTTTTCTTTATGCTAGTACCATGTCGTCTTCTTAGGATGACTTTGTTATAAATTTTAAAGTTAGGACCAGTGAATCCCTCCAACTTTGTTCTTGATTGTTCAAGACTATTTTACCCATTCTGGATTCCTTGTATTTCCATAAGGATTTTAGAATCAGCTTATCAGTTTGTGCCAAAAAGAGGCCACTGAAAATTTGACAGGTCTTGGCTGCTCTGTGGGACTGAATATACTGTTTAACTAATTAACTCAACAATTCCACTAAAACGTGAAGCCAGGAGATCCTCAAATACAGCTAATCTTTCCAAGCATATGCTAGTAAAATCATCAGGGTAAAAAGACAGGCTCTATAACATGTCACTTTTACTTGAATTTAATCATTAATTACCCCTTAAAGTCTTTTCCCTGACAACTGTGGCAACTTTAATATTTGTAGAAATCAACCATGACCTCAGGAAAAGTCCTACTCGTAGGGAGGCTTCCTGCTTAATGTAAATGTAATGAAAACAGCGTGTGTAAGTTTGACTCTTCTACTATGAATAAGGGTGGGACGTAAACCACTGTTGGGACAGAGCTGCCAGCATAAGGACAGTTTACTCCACAGAATGAGATCACTCAAGTTTTAGAGTAAATGCATTTTTCCTATCTTCTAGCGCAACACTGAAAACTGAGAATTGTTATACCTGCTCTGATAAACCAGAATATATGTGAGTTTACACCTAAGGAGGCACGTGACTTGAAGAACACAGATATATCTCAGAGGACTTAAAGAACTGGTTTAGTCACACAGAAACCACAGATGAAAACAATTTCTCTTCCATTGCTTAGCAAATTGATATAGGAGGAGGCTTATTAACGCTACTTCCTTTTGCTAATAAGCAAAGATGTTATTTACCTTTAGATCTTGGTAAATTAGTTTTTTAAAAAAGTTAATTCCAATTTTTCTTTTGGTCTTGTGGGAAAGCCCCAAATAACAGTTATAAAAACTTTATTTATAATTGATACTTAATGCAAGAATAGAAATCCCTGCATCACACCTGCAGCTGCATCTGCAATAACAACAGAAAAGGAAGATGAGAGAAACCCTCCCCCGTGACTCCATTTACATCCTTTCCCAGAACGCTGCTGTCCAGCTGCGTGCTGTGAATGTTCTGGGTAACCTGCTAGCACATAACAGTTTTGGAATCAGACTGTGACTTTCAAAAACACGTCATACACCACCACAAATAAACCTCTCTCGAATATAAAATTATTTCCTAAAAGAACTTAATGCACTGAAAATGGGCAAATGAAGCAGGTTAAGCCAACCTATTGATGTTGAACAAGCTGTTAAAGTGAAGAAGAAATTGATTCATCTTTGCTCTTGGTAGAAACAGAGACTTGTTTATGAAGGTCTGATTCAAAAACTTTTAGTTGAAGCGTGCTTTCTGGAAGGATAGTGGAGAAAGAAACTGATCTGTGTAGGATCTGGACTGTGTAAACCTTTTAAATCCTTGTTCACAGAACCAAGATCAAATGACTTCACTGTCTTTTGCTCTAGCTGTGCCTTTCTCTAAGAGTTCATGATATCAAATGCCTCACACATCCCTACTAACATCTCAGTGGCTTCCTGTGTGCTTCCTCCCGCCATCCAACCATGCCCTAACCTGTGCTATCATCCTTTATCTCTGCCACCCGTAGGCCCAGCTGTGTTTAACTTGGCTTGAGCTTTCCTTTCTATTATGCCGTCTCATCCTCTCCCAGTCTCTGTGAGGAAGACATTATGATTATATTCTGGTGAGTAAACTGAGGCCCAGAGAAGTCACTTGGCATTTTCAAGGTCACTAAACTAAAAAGTGCTATGCAATAAGAGAAATCTCCAATCTCCTGGATCCTAGGATGACACTCTCTTTAACACAGAATAAAATGAAATGGTGAAAGGGACTTTTAGTTTGACTGCTGTAACAGATACTCTTTCCTTTCTCGGGTCTTGCATGCTTCCTGCCTCATTAAACATGCTATTTTTCACCAGTCAGGCATCGCAACCAGTATCACCAGCCATTACTCAGCCATTACCCGAGTCCCAGGAATGCCTGAGTGGAACCGACAGGAGCCCATTAGCCACAGCCTCCATTCTGGGGACTCACTCTAGCGAGCTAATGTAAGCCCTGAGTGTCAGGACCACTAATGGGGAAAGAAAGAAGCAGGCCTGGGGCTCCCCTCCCTCCTTCCCCTAAGGGATCTTGAGCAGTCATATGTACAGCTGCCTGGAGCACTGGGAACCATTTCTACTAAGAAAGGGGGAAAAGAAGTAGTAATTTATAAGAAAATATAAATAAAATTCTAAATACACTTGGAACACCTACAAGACATGCAAACACCCACACATGATAAATTTAAAGACTCTGAAAGGACATCAGCTTAGACAACCCCATGTTCTTCAGTAGATATTTACCGATTGTTGGGCAAGGAACTACACCTCCCACTTTAAAGATCCTATTCTTATTTATGCACACATTCTGAATCCTTAGCCTTTCTCTGGGTGTCCTATAGTGAAGTATGCACCACAG